TATCAAATTCACACATAACAATATAAACCCTAAATGTAAATGGACTAAATGCACCAATCAAAAGACACAGACTGGCAAATTGGATAAAAAAACAAAACCCATCAGTGTGCTGTATCCAGGAAACCCATCTCACATGCAAGGATACACAAAGGCTCAAAATAATGGATGGAAGAAGATTTACCAAGCAAATGGAGAGCAAAAAAAAAGCAGGAGTTGCAATTCTCATCTCTAATAAAATAGACTTTAAAGCAACAAAGATCAAAAGAGACAAAGAAGGTCATTACATAATGGTAAAAGGATCGATACAACAAGAAGAGCTAATGATCCTAAATATATATGGACCCAATACAGGAGCACCCAGATAAATAAGGCAAGTTCTTAATGACTTACAAAGAGACTTAGATTCCCACACAATAATCGTGGGAGATTTTAACACTCCACTGTCAATATTAGACAGATCAACCAGACAGAAAATTAACAAGGATATACAGGGCTTGAACTCAGACCTGGAACAAACAAACCTGATAGACATTTACAGAACTCTCCACCCCAAATCCATAGAATATACATTCTTCTAAGCACCACATCACACCTACTCTAAAATTGACCACATACTTGGAAGTAAAGCACTCCTCAGCAAATGCAAAACAATGGAAATCATAACAAACAGTCTCTCAGACCATAGTGCAATCAAGTTAGAACTCAGAATTCAGAAACTAACCCAGACCACACATCTTCATGGAAACTGAACAACTGGCTCTTGAATGTTGACTGAATAAGCAATGAAATGAAGGCAGAAATAAAGAAGTTCTTCGAAACCAACGAGAACGAAGACACAACATACCAGAATCTCTGGGACACATTTAAAGCAGTCTCTAGAGGAAAATATATAGCAATAAGTGCCAATATGAGAAGAGTGGAGAAATCCAAAATTGACACCCTATCATCAAAATTGAAAGAGCTAGAGGAGCAAGATCAAAAAAACTCAAAACCTAGCAGAAGACAAGAAATAACTAAGATCAGAGCAGAACTGAAGGAGATAGAGACACGAAAAACCCTTCAAAAAATCAATAAATCCAAGAGCTGGTTTTCTGAAAAGATCAACAAAATAGACCACTAGCCAGCCTGATAAAAAAGAAAAGAGAGAACAACCAAATAGATGCAATAAAAAATGATAAAGGGGAAATCACCACAGATTCCACAGAAATTCAAACCATCATCAGAGAATATTACAAACAACTCTATGCACATAAACTAGTAAACCTGGAAGAAATGGATAAATTCCTGGACACCTGTGTCCTTCCAAGCCTAAACCAGGAGGAAGCCGAAACTATGAATAGACCAATAACAAGGTCTGAACTCGAGGCAGCAATTAAGAGCCTACCACACAAAAAAAGTCCAGGTCCAGACGGGTTCACAGCCGAATTCTACCAGACACACAAAGAGGAGCTGGTACCATTCCTTCTGAAACTATTCCAAATAATCCAAAAAGAGGGAATCCTTCCCAGATCATTTTATGAGACCAACATCATCCTGTTACCAAAACCTGGCAGAGACCCAACAAGAAAAGAAAACTTCAGGCCAATATCCATGATGAACATAGATGCAAAAATCTACAATAAAATACTGGCAAGCCGATTGCAACAGCACATCAAAAAACTTATCCATCATGATCATGTACGATTCATCCCAGGGATGCAAGGCTGGTTCAACATACGCAAGTCTATAAACGTAATTCACCACATAAACAGAACCAAAAACAAAAACCATATGATTATCTCAATTGACGCAGAGAAGGCCTTTTACAAAATTCAACAGCCCTTTATGCTAAAAACCCTCAATAAACTCAGTATCGGTGGAACATATCTCAAAGTAATAAAAGCTATTTACGACAAACCAACAGCCAATATCATACTGAATGGGCAAAAACTGGAAGCATTCCCTTTGAAATCCGGCACTAGACAAGGATGCCCTCTTTCACCACTCCTATTCAATGTAGTACTGGAAGTTCTAGCCAGAGCAATCAGGCAAGGAAAAGAAATAAAGGGTATTCAAATAGGAAAGGTGGAAGCAAAATTGTCACTATTTGCAGACAACATGATAGTATACCTAGAAGACCCCATCGCCTCAGCCCAAAAACTCCTGAAACTGATAAGCAACTTCAGCAAAGTCTCAGGATATAAAATCAATGTGCAAAAATCACAAGCATTCATCTACACCAAAAACAGACTTAAAGAGAGCCAAATCAAGAACGAACTGCCATTCACAATTGCTACAAAAAGAATAAAATACCTAGGAATACAACTCACAATGAACGTAAGGAACCTCTTCAAGGAAAACTATAAACCACTGCTCAACGAAATAAGAGAGGACACAAACAAATGGAGAAACGTTCCATGTTCATGGTTAGGAAGAATTCATATCATGAAAATGGCTATACTTCCCAAAGTAATTTACAGAATCAACGCTATCCCCATCAAGCTACCATTGACTTTCTTCACAGAACTGGAAAAAACCACCATGAACTTCATATGGAACCAAAAGAGAGCCTGCATAGCCAAGTCAGTTCTAAGCAAAAAGAACATGGGGGGACATCACACTACCGGATTTCAAACTATACTACAAGGCTACAGTAATCAAAACAGCATGGTACTGGTACCAAAACAGAGATATAGACCAATGGAACAAAACAGAGGTATCGGAGGCAACACAACATATCTACAACCATACAATCTTTGATAAACCTGACAAAAACAAGCAATGGGGAAAGGATTCCCTGTTTAATAAATGGTGTTGGGAAAACTGGCTAGCCATGTGCAGAAAGCAGAAACTGGACCCCTTCCTGACACCTTACACTAAAATTAACTCCAGATGGATTAAAGACTTAAACATAAGACCTGGCACCATAAAAACCCTAGAAGAAAATCTAGGCAAAACCATTCAGGACATAGGAGTAGGCAAGGACTTCATGAACAAAACACCAAAAGCATTGGCAACAAAAGCCAAAATAGACAAATGGGACCTAATGAAACTCCACAGCTTCTGCATGGCAAAAGAAATAGTCATTAGAGTGAATCGGCAACCAACAGAATGGGAAAAATTTTTTGCAGTTTACCCATCTGACAAAGGACTTATATCCAGAATTTACAAAGAACTCAAACAGATTTACAGGAAAAGAAAAAAACAAACAAGCCTATTCAAAAATGGGCAAAGGATATGAACAGACACTTTACAAAAGAAGACAAACAAGAGGCCAACAAACATGAAAAAATGCTCATCATCACTGGTCACTAGAGAGATGCAAATCAAAACCACATTGAGATACCATCTCACGCCAGTTAGAATGGTGATCATTTAAAAATCTGGAGACAACAGATGCTGGAGAGGATGTGGAGAAATAGGAACACTTTTACACTGTTGGTGGGAGTGTAAACTAGTTCAACCATTGTGGAAGACAGTGTGGCAATTCCTCAAGGCCTTAGAAATAGAAATTCCAATTGACCCAGCAATCCCATTACTGGGTATATATCCAAAGAACTATAAATCGTTCTACTATAAGGACACATGCACACAAATGTTCATTGCAGCACTGTTTACATTAGCAAAGACCTGGAACCAACCCAAATGCCCATCGATGGTAGACTGAATTGGGAAAATGTGGCACATATACACCATGGAATATTATGCAGCAATCAAAAATGATGAGTTCGTGTCATTTGTAGGGACATGGATGAATCTGGAGAACATCATTCTCAGCAAACTGACACAAGAACAGAAAATGAAACACCGCATATTCTCACTCATAGGTGGGTGATGAAAAATGAGAACACATGGACACAGGGAAGGGAGTACCAAACACTGGGGTCTATTGGGGGGAAGAGGGGAGGGCCAGTGGGGTGGGGAGCTGGGGCGGGATAGCCTGGGGAGAAATGCCAAATGTGGGTGAAGGGGAGGAAGGCAGCAAAACATACTGCCATGTGTGTACCTATGCAAATGCACATGTACCCCAAAACCTAAAATGCAATTTAAAAAAAAAGAACTAAAAGTAAGTCTTCTGTTTGAATCAGCAATCCCACTCCTGGATATCTACCCAGAGGAGAATAAGTTACTGTAGGAAAAAGATATTTGCACACATTTGTTTATAGCAGCACAATTCACAATTATAAAAATATGAAACCAACCTAGATGCCCATCAATGAATGAGTGGATAAAGAAAATGTATATATACACACCATTGAAAACTACTCATCCATAAAAACGGAATGAAATAATAGCATTCACAGCAATTTGGGTGAAATTTGGAGACTATTATTCTAAGTGAAGTAACTCAGAAATGCAAAACCAAACATCATATGTTCTCACTCACATGTGGGAGCTAAGCTATGAGACACAAAGGCCTAAGAGTCATTAATTGGACTTTGGGTACCCATGGTAAAGGATGGGGGGGGGTGACAGATAAAAGGCTATACGTTGGGTGCAAGGAACACTGCTAGGGTGATGGGTGCACCAAAATCTCAGAAATGACTACCGAAGAACTTATTCATGTAACCAAACACGACCTGTTCCCAAAAAACTCTATGAAAATAAAAAAAATTAAGTTATTATAGTTTGAAGTTTTATAACAGTATTACAACAAAAATACCAAGGCCTTTACATAAAAAATTCTAAGCATAAATTAAGATGGGAAATCTGTGGTTATGTTTTTCTGGGTTATTTAAAAGTTGCTGAATGAGGAACATTGATTTGTTCTTGCAATCTCATATGGCTATTTGGTTTTCTTTCATGTCAATGGAAAGTATCTTTTAGACTCTGGCATGGCTTCAGACTTCAACATAAAATCATCTTTCTGAGACAGGGGCTCAGCTATTTTGTACACCAGAACCCCAGCAGAGTAGAGGGAAGCAAAACAGAGAGGCTCAGATTAGTTATGGGACAAGATCCGTTTCCAAAGTCCCCAGTATCCCTGTTTTTGCCTCCCAGCAAGGTTTAAGAATATTTACCTCTTCTAACTGGATCTCCTGCTCATACACCAACTTTCTGACCATGCTGGCCACAGACACCATCCACGTCAGCATCATTATCAGTGGAAAAAAGAAACCAACGTTGTTCAGGAATCTGTAAGGGCATAATTCAGTCAGCATCCAGAGGCAAGCAAAATGATTCTACTGCTTTTTTACATTTTTCTTCCAAGCTACAAAGCACTTTCAGGAGTAATGTCTTCTTTGGTCATTTCTACATGCCTGTGACTTAGGTAGAACAGCCATGATTGGTGTGCTTATTTTGTAGGTGTGCAAACTCATGAAAGAACCCAAGAAGGAGACACAACTGGTTCAAGGTCTCTCAGATAGCCACAGCCCAGCCTCAATACTCTCTGACACCTGCCATAGGCAGAGTAGGTTGGAGCAAAACAGGTAATTAATCCATACCTACCATTTCTCCCACTTAATAGGGACCATTATCTATGTTCAATTATTGATATTAACTGATCATAGATTATCATCTATAACATATGTGAAAACTGGCAAATGAAAGTCTTCCTTTCTATTTCTCCAACACTCATATTTCAACCTACTCTAACTGGGATCCATTTCTAATATACACTTGAAATGGCTCTTACCTAGGGCATCAGTGACAGTCATGCCTCAAAATCCAGTGAGAATTATCCCAGTCATTTTCCTCTTGAGTTTTCAGACATGTTTGATGACACTGGTCATTCCCTCCTCCTCTCTTTTAGCTTCCAGAACAACTCCCAGCTTTGCACCCACAGCTTGGCAACGTCTCCTTTACCTGCCTTTAAATGTAGGCATTCTCACCTCAAGCTGGACCCTCTGTCTTCCCACCACATACTCTCTGAGCTCTAAATCCACATAATAATTATGTCTTCAACATTGAGACCAAACAAAGGTGCAAGCCATGTTACTGGGCTTATGATACATGAATGAGGCAAAGAGAAAAAAATTCCTGCCATTAAAGATCTTTCATTCTAGTGTGTCAGCCAGGTGGAAAGGGACACAAAATAATTCAATAAACACAGAGATTGCTATGTTCTGTCCCTGCCAAAACTCATGTTAAAATTTAATTGCCCATGTAAAGGTATTGAGGGGTAATAAATACAACCTTTAAGAGGTGTTTGGTTTATGGGGGCTCTACTGTCATGAATGGATTAATGTAGTTCTCATGAGACTAGGTGAGTTCCCAGGGTACTGGATTAGTTCTTGAGAGAGCTGGCTGTTACAAAGCAGGGTTGCCTCTCAGGTGTGAAGCACCCAGCCCCTTCCCCTTACACTTTCCACCATGAGTTGAAGTAGCATGAAGCCCTCAGCAGAAGCCAACCAAACAGGCTGCCTGATCTTGGACCTCCCACCAGAATTATGAGCCAAATAGACTTCTCTTCTTTATAAACTACCCATTCTCAGATATTCTGCAACAGCAACATGGAAAGGACCAAAACAGAGATGCATAATGTCAGGTAGTGATAAATGCTGTGAGGAAAAAAGAACCAGCTTACTTCTCACTCAAAAGTGAGAAGGAGTGCTATTTCAGTCAGGGTGACCAGCTGAGCTGACAGCAGAAAAAAATATTTGAGCAGAAAGCAGATGGAGTAAGGAAATGAGTCACACAGGTATCCAAAAGAAGAATCCTCCAGGCAAAGGAAAAGAAAGGGCAAGGGCCAGAGGTGAGAGCAAGCAGAGCATGGGTCAGGAGCAGCCAAGGCCTTCACGGAACAGCAGCAGATGGGGTCAGAGCATAAGCAGGAGCCAGATCACACAAGAATCTTTCATGTCAGGGTAAGTTCTATATTTTACTTAGTGAACAAGAAGGTACACTGAAAAGACTTTAAAAGGAGAAGAGAGAGAAACAGAGCGGTGACATAGTCATGTGGACACTGCTTTTAAAAAGACCACTAAATGCCATGTAGACAATGGGCTAGAGGTGGGGAAGCCTGTCGAGAGGGGTCAGAAGGCTACAGCAGACTCAGCAGTCTAGATGAGAAACAAGGGATCCCCAACAAAGACAGTGGCCCTGGAGACAGGGAAATGACCAGATTGGACATTTGCCCTGATGCAATAGCATCTCAGAGGCCCTCTAGAACTTCTTCATAGCATTAAGAACAGCATGGAACACGTTCAAGACTTGATGTCTACCTCTCATACCAGAATCTAAGCTCCTTAAGGAAGGCCTCCCACTGCATCTCCTTGGCCTGGCAGGGGCCTGCCTCATAACGGAAACCAAACACTTATTAATAAATACATGAATGTGTAACAAAGAAAAGGAAATTATTTGTTTTTATTCACTTTTCTGCTTAAGACAACTTTTACAAGCTGTCAACTTGGCGAATCACATTTAAAAGTTAAATATGGGCTGGGCATGGTGGCTCCTGCTTATAATCCCAGTACTTCGGGAAGCTGAGGCAGGTAGATCACTTGAGATCAGGAGTTCAAGACCAGCCTGGCCAATACATGGGGAAACCCCGTCTCTACTAAAAATACAAAAATTAGCCAGACTTGGTGGTGGGCACCTGTAATCCTAACTACTCAGGAGGTTGAGGCAGGAGAATCACTTGAACCCAGGAGGCAGAGGTTGCAGTGAACCATGACTGAGCTAATGTGTTCCAGCCTGGGCAACAGAGCAAGACTCTCTTAAAAAAGAAAGAAAGAGAAGAAAGAGAAGAAAGAAAGAAAGAAAGAAAGAAAGGAAGAAAGGAGGGAGGGAGGGAGGGAGGGAGGGAGGGAGGGAGGGAGGGAGGGAGGGAGGGAGGAAGGAAGGAAAGAAAGAAAGAAAGAAAGTCCAATATGGTTAACTTGTATGCTGTACAGTGACTGCTTGCAGAAGGCAGAGTCCTTTAGATTTCCAGTTTTGTGTCTGGCTTTATTTTAAAGCATTATTTTTGCAGTGTTCAGAGCAGGTAGAAGTCTCTGAACAGGAAGTATCATAAACTCTACATGTCCATCCAACAAACGCCATTTGTTTTCTCGGAGTAACATAGTTTACCACAGAGAGAAAGCTTGGATCATCTGTAAAGTTAAAGACAACTAATACCGAGTTTATTAAGAGGGTTGAAAACGTTCGTCTGTTTGTTCACATATTTCGCTTTTTTAACTTAATGGCAGCGGTATCCATGGCTACTGAACTCTACCCTTGCAGCAACCTGAATCTTACAAAAGAGCCCATAAGCATCACGCACAAGCATTATCTAAGATTGCTTTTTAAGCTGCTGCTTCAGAAGTCACCTTAGGTCTGACTTCTGTGCCATGTGTGTGTCCTGTTGATCCCTTGAAGCTTTGTAAAGGAGAAAGTCATGAGAGGCTTGGAGCTGGATCAACCTAACTCTGAAAATCTTGGAGCACCTACCTCAGATATAAGAGAATATCCAGACACTCTGCACAGACATGTCAGACTGAAATCATTTGGTAGAAATAGAATAGAATAACAAATTGGAGATGACAGATTACAAGACATGGCTATGTAACTCAGACTATTTCTTATACGCACCTGGAAACTGGTGTAAAATCAAAAAGAGAAGAAAAAAAGACATAAATTCAAATTTGTATAAATGCTTAGAAAAAACACGAAGCATTTGAAAACTACTAAGAAATCAAGTTCAACCGGGCGTGGTGGCTCACACCTGTAATCCAAGCACTTTGGAGGACAAGGCAGGAGGATCTCCTGAGGTTGGGAGTTCAAGACCAGCCTGACCAACATGGTGAAACCCTGTCTTTAAAAAAAAAAAAAAGAAAGAAAGAAATCAAGTTCATGTGATAGTCATACAAAAATGTAAATAGGAGAGATTTCAGTAGCAAATCCCCACCCTCTGCAGATCTCAGAATGCACCATTGAAAGTACATTTCTTGGTTGGATACAGTGGCTCACTCTTGTAATCCCAACACTTTGGGAGGTTGAAGCAGGCAAATCACTTGAGCCCAAGAGTTTGAGACAAGCCTGGGAAACATGGTAACACGGTTAAACCCCATCTGTTCAAAAAAATCCAAAAATTACCCAGATGTGGTGGCACATGCCTGTAGTCCCAGCTACTTGGGAGGTTGAGATGGGAGGATCACTGGAGCCAGAAAATTGAGGCTGCAGTGAGCTCTAGTTGTGCCACTGCACTCCAACCTAGGTGACAGAACAAGACCCGGTCTCCAAAAAGAAAAAAAAGAAAACACTTCTTAAAAGTAAGCAGCACACTCTGAGAGGCAAAATACATACAACAGATTGTGCTAGGTGGACGACAAGTTACATGTTAAATTGGATAGCTTTGTTACTGCCTTAATCTCATTACTCATTATTAGTCTGTTCAGGCTTTGTATTTCTTAATTGCTCAATCATGATATGTTATATGTGTCCAAGAATTTGTCCATTTCTTCTAGATTTTAAAATTCATTGGTGTATGTATAATTATTCATAATAGTGTCTACTGATCCTTTATATTTCTGTGGTATCAGTTATAATGTCTCTTTTTTTGTTTCAAATTTTATTTGAGTCTTCGCTCTTTTTTTCTAAATCTAGCTAAAAATTTATTGAATTTGTTTATCTTTTTTAAAAAAACACCTCTTTGAAACTATTAACAGAGTAAAGAGACAACCTACAGAATGGGAGAAAATATTCACAAACTGCATCCAACAAATGTCTAATATCCACAGTCTATAAGGAACTTAAACAATTCAACAAACACATGCCCCAATGAAAGCAGGCAAAAGACAGGAGCAGGCACTTCTCAAAAGAAGACATACAAGCAGCCAACAAACATTAAAGAAATGCTCCCTATCTCAAATCATCAGAGAGAGGCAAATCAACACCACAAGGAGATACCATCTGATGCCAGTCAGAATGGCTACTATTAAAAAGTCAAAAACAACAGATACTGGCCAGACTATGGAGAAAAGGGAATGCTTTTACACTGTTGATGGGAATATAAATGAGCTCAGCCACTGTATAAAGTAGTTTGGAGATTTCTCAAATAACTTAAAACAGAACTACCATTCAAACCCCCAATCCCATTACTGGGTATATATCCAAAAGAAAATAAATTGTTCAACCAAAAAGACACAGGCACTCACATGTTCAAAATCACTATTTACAATAGCAAAGACATGGAATCAACGTAGATGCCCATC